GTTTTGCAAAAGATTTTTTTAAATATCTCCAAAAATATTTTTACTTCAGCCTATTATCATATATTGGCAGAATCTGTAAATTCCCAGTGATCACAAAAAATACTTAAAATCGCTCTATCTCTTCTAGTTTAGCCAGAAAACGCATTTAAAGTTTTTGAAAAAAAAAAAAAAATTTTTCTTAATGATCACAAAAAACACTTAAAATCGCTCTATTTCTTCTAGTTTAGCCAGAAAACGCGTTTAAAGTTTTGCAAAAGATTTTTTTAAATATCTCCAAAAATATTTTTACTTCAGCCTATTATCATATATTGGCAGAATCTGTGAATTCCCAGTGATCACAAAAAACACTTAAAATCGCTCTATCTCTTCTAGTTTAGCCAGAAAACGCGTTTAAAGTTTTGCAAAAGATTTTTTTAAATATCTCCAAAAATAGTTTTGCTACAGCCTATTGTCATATATTGGCAGAATCTGTGCATTCCCAGTGATCACAAAAAACACTTAAAATCGCTCTATCTCTTCTAGTTTAGCCAGAAAACGCGTTTAAAGTTTTGCAAAAGATTTTTTAAATATCTCCAAAAATATTTTTACTTCAGCCTATTATCATATATTAGCAGAATCTGTAAATTCCCAGTGATCACAAAAAATACTTAAAATCGCTCTATCTCTTCTAGTTTAGCCAGAAAACGCATTTAAAGTTTTTGAAAAAAAAAAAAAAATTTTTTCTTAATGATCACAAAAAACACTTAAAATCGCTCTATTTCTTCTAGTTTAGCCAGAAAACGCGTTTAAAGTTTTGCAAAAGATTTTTTTAAATATCTCCAAAAATATTTTTACTTCAGCCTATTATCATATATTGGCAGAATCTGTGAATTCCCAGTGATCACAAAAAACACTTAAAATCGCTCTATCTCTTCTAGTTTAGCCAGAAAACGCGTTTAAAGTTTTGCAAAAGATTTTTTTAAATATCTCCAAAAATATTTTTGCTACAGCCTATTATCATATATTGGCAGAATCTGTGAATTCCCAGTGATCACAAAAAACACTTAAAATCGCTCTATCTCTTCTAGTTTAGCCAGAAAACGCGTTTAAAGTTTTGCAAAAGATTTTTTAAATATCTCCAAAAATATTTTTGCTACAGCCTATTATCATATATTGGCAGAATCTGTGAATTCCCAGTGATCACAAAAAACACTTAAAATCGCTCTATCTCTTCTAGTTTAGCCAGAAAACGCGTTTAAAGTTTTGCAAAAGATTTTTTAAATATCTCCAAAAATATTTGTGCTACAGCCTATTATCATATATTGGCAGAATCTGTGAATTCCCAGTGAGCACAAAAAACACTTAAAATTGCTCTATCTCTTCTAGTTTAGCCAGAAAATGCGTTTAAAGTTTTGCAAAAGATTTTTTTAAATATCTCCAAAAATATTTTTGCTACAGCCTATTATCATATATTGGCAGAATCTGTGAATTCCCAGTGATCACAAAAAACACTTAAAATCGCTCTATCTCTTCTAGTTTAGCCAGAAAACGCGTTTAAAGTTTTGCAAAAGATTTTTTTAAATATCTCCAAAAATATTTTTGCTACAGCCTATTATCATATATTGACAGAATCTGTGAATTCCCAGTGATCACAAAAAACACTTAAAATCGCTCTATCTCTTCTAGTTTAGCCAGAAAACGCGTTTAAAGTTTTGCAAAAAATTTTTTAAATAGCTCCAAAAATATTTGTGCTACAGCCTATTATCATATATTGGCAGAATCTGTGAATTCCCAGTGATCACAAAAAACACTTAAAATCGCTCTATCTCTTCTAGTTTAGCCAGAAAACGCGTTTAAAGTTTTGCAAAAGATTTTTTAAATATCTCCAAAAATATTTGTGCTACAGCCTATTATCATATATTGGCAAAATCTGTGAATTCCCAGTGATCACAAAAAATACTTAAAATCGCTCTATCTCTTCTAGTTTAGCCAGAAAACGCGTTTAAAGTTTTGCAAAAGATTTTTTTAAATATCTCCAAAAATATTTTTGCTACAGCCTATTATCATATATTGGCAGAATCTGTGAATTCCCAGTGATCACAAAAAACACTTAAAATCGCTCTATCTCTTCTAGTTTAGCCAGAAAACGCGTTTAAAGTTTTGCAAAAGATTTTTTTAAATATCTCCAAAAATATTTTTGCTACAGCCTATTATCATATATTGGCAGAATCTGTGAATTCCCAGTGATCACAAAAAACACTTAAAATCGCTCTATCTCTTCTAGTTTAGCCAGAAAACGCGTTTAAAGTTTTGCAAAAGATTTTTTAAATATCTCCAAAACTATTTTTGCTACTGCATATTATTATATATTCGCAGAATCTGTGAACTCCCAGTGATCACAAAAAACATTTAAAATCGCTCTATCTCTTCTAGTTTAGCCAGAAAACGCGTTTAAAGTTTTGCAAAAGATATTTTAAATATCTCCAAAAATATTTTTGCTACAGCCTATTATCATATATTGGCTGAATCTGTGAATTCCCAGTGATCACAAAAAACACTTAAAATCGCTCTATCTCTTCTAGTTTAGCCAGAAAACGCGTTTAAACTTTTGCAAAAGATTTTTTTAAATATCTCCAAAAATATTTTTGCTACTGCATATTATCATATATTATCATATATTATCATTAAAAAATTTTTTTTAGGGATCGTGAAATCTCTAATTAATTAAAGATTGAATAAAAACCTATTTTGACATTTCTATAAGCGGCATCGATGTTGTTTTGTACAATGTAGTAATGTTTTTTACATAACCGACCGCAATTAGATTAGTAAAAGTATTTCAAAAAATTATGAAAACGAAGTAAACGTCCAGTGGCTCAAACTTAGGAGGTTTCGCGTAATGTCTAACGAAGCTTATAATGAAGGAAATCTGTTGAATATTTTCTAAAAAATTATCAAATATGTGAAACGGGCCGTTAAAAGGTTAATCTCCCAAAATTTGATCACTCCGTGCCATAGTCGATATATACTTACATATAATATTCCATCAAAATTGGTTCAGCCGAACTTGAGACACACGCGCACACAGATCGATAGGTTGCTGAAAATAGTTTATTTACACTTCCTGACATGGAGAAGTGCGCTCCCACCGAAAACTCGACATGCAAAATGTGGTGCCATCACATAACCTACCTTAATGCATACACAATGCGGCCAGTAAAAACATTGGCTGTTTTTTACAGTTGTTATTCCATATGATTAAAATTAATAAAAATAAAAACAAAATAATGAAAATGAATACCTTAATAATATAATAAGAACGGAAGAACTTAATAGTTTTGATACAGGAAAATTTAATCTGTATTACAAAATTTGAGAAAAGCGTAGAAATATGTCAAAGATATTGCATAAAATCATAAATTGTTTTAATAATTTATATTGCAATATAAACCTCCACAGTATACCTGCCATTTTTTGTCTTTATCAAGGCATTAATAAAAATAAAAGATTCTTCTGAGAAAATTATTTGAATATGGAATTAGATGGAGAGAAGACTATTATAGCTGTCTATCAATTCAATGTAGTTGTCTTGATCCAGCTATTTTCTTGTTGGTTGTTTTCAGCGGCGTCGAAATAGGTTGGAGTGTACAATAAATCGCAATATGATGCCTTTAGATTTTTCTCTCGTGCTAAGGTTTTACAAAAGACCAATTCTTTATATAAACATTAAATTTTGAACTTTTAATATACATAATTTTGATATCATTCTTCTATTTTTTCTTTTTCCTAAGGCTAATAATATAAGAATTTTCTTATTTCTACCACATGCAAACAAATTTAAAACTTATTAATTTAAAGTTTCACAAAATCATCAGCAAATATACTCGTATTGTCAAGATCGTTTTTGAAAGAATAAAATTTCAGTGTTGCCATTTAAATATTCTTTGTAGTTTTGACAGTTCTCTGTCTGCCTTGTTTGAGTACATTATTAGTACTCGTATATTAATTAAAGTTTTATTTATGTTTAATGTTTACAAAAAAAGTCTTTTCAAAAAAATTGAACCAAAAAATTTCGGTGCATTTTGCTACTCGAAAACATTTTAAGAGATAAAAATCAAACGATATGTGGCTGCCAGCGTTAAAGATGAGTGAAATTTTTCGAAAATATTTTAAAATATGCGTTTAATGTTCATGCACTGAAAAAAAAAAAAACTCATATCTATAAAGTGACGATAAAATATTTGAGAACTCATAATATTTTTACTCAAAGCAGAAATAATTTTTATCTTTATATGACATAAAGATATTCAAATACTTCTTATATTAAAATGCGCAAAAATTATTTCATAGATATTTTATAGATAAAATAGAACTTATAAATAGCTCTCTTGGCAGTAGCCCTTTTGTTGTTTGAAGCTGAATCAAAAAATGTTTTGAATGACACAAGTTTTTCGATATTCAAATAAAAGAATTATCAAATGAGAAAGAATTTATTTCTAATATGTTTTCAAATTTTTCGAAAAATATTTTGAATTTAGCTACAAAATAGCTATACACAAAATTATTGTAACCCATTCAGAATTTTTTTTTTATTCTAACTAGATAGATATTATATTTTTGTAAACGGCTCAAAATTATAACTAATTTAAAAACAGTATATTTATAAAACTGTTCTAAATTATATTCAAAATAAAAATAAAGGGGATAGGAAATGTGATTTATGTGAAAATTAGCTATGAAATTTCTGTTTATAAAAAATAACTTAGATATAAATATTCTTCTTAGTATGAAGTTCAAAACATTTCCAATTCCGAGTTATAATAAATTATCATATTAATGTAAAGTAACTATAAATGCATATAAGAAGTCTTTTTAGATTCCTTTCCTATAGATTTTTATACGTCTTCTAATAATTCAAATTATGAAAAGATGGCAACACTATTTTTACGTCAAAAAAATGATATTTCATTTTTTTGACGTAAAAAAAATGAAATATCATTTTTTTGACGTAAAAATAGTGTCTTTTCTATAATAATTCATAATTTTTTAGTTGATTAAAAAAGCGGGAATAGTATAAAGTAAGATTTCATATTTGTAATGTTGCGATTCATTTAGATTTTGTAAAAGGTAAAAAATGTTAAATAAAAAAAATTTATAAAAATGTGAATGAAATGAAAATTTAATTGAATTATAAATGAAAAATAAAATTAAATATATATGTATAAATATGGATATATATATATATATCATATCTATACATATCATCATTTATGTATATATATAGACACCGAGTTTTAATTGAAATTAAAATTTAAAATGTGGTATAATATTGAAAAGTATTAAAAAATCCTAACAAGTTTCTGTTCTTAGTAATTTCAAATACTTCAAGTGATAAATTAGTAATTAAGTAATCCATGAAATTTCTAATTGTTCATTTATGTCCTAAACATTTTTGGAAAGATTTTTATTTAAGTATTAACTATTGAAATTAAATATATTTTTTATTGTGTATATACATATCTGTAATATATTCTAATTGGAATTGAAATTCTGGAAAAAAATCACTAGGGGTCACTTTGCAAATTTTTTAAATTTTTTAAAAGTATTCACTTTTTAGTTCAAATATATCTCAGGATTGTATAGTTTCCTATTTTTTTATATTTTTCGATACTATTTAACTTACCTATAAAAATGAGTGAAAATATGAGTGAAAATATAATAACATACTCAATTTCTGTATATACTATTGCTGACAGAAATGATTTCTTTGTAATGTCAAGGTATAACATATACACAATTTTTTCCTTATCATTTATAAATATGATCTTAACACTAATACATACATATACATACATATACGTTTTATACCAATAATATGGCCTTTTTATTGTAAATTTTGTATCATTTTTTTTTTTTTTTTGTATCCTCACAATATTTGAATAATTTCAAAGAATTTTTCATTTTGTGTTATTAGAAATGGTGGCTAGTTTAACTATGTTCTGCATTTATTCTTATTGAATTTATGATTGTAAATTTGTCATATATGGAAATGTATACAAGAAAAACTAGACTATTTTTAGTATCATAATTTAGTTTTCAACTAAACATTTATAAAAGAGTTTCAAAAATTTATGGTATTCTAGTCATGGAATACAATCTATCAAATGCACGAAAACGAACAAAAAAAAAAAATACCAACGGAAACTATTGGTTTGTTTTTTTTTTTTATTTTCCTCTTCTTTTACAATTACGTTTTTTTGTACGAAGAAAATTTTGTCCGGAATTTGGAATACATTTTCTATATTTTACTCAATTTCAATAGATATTTTTCCATAGTTTCAATCAATTTCCAGTAAAACGTTATATATTGATGATGACAAAACAATGAAACACTGAATAAATGAGATTAAAAAATCTGAAACTAATTTTTCTTAAGTCGAGAATGGCTATGCATCATAAGAAATAGCCCGTTCCGAAAAGAAAAAAAAAAATTGTATGTATATATATATATATATATATATATATATATATAATAATTTTCACATAAAGATGCTCCATTCTATTGATCATATTAAAAATATTTGTTATTTAATTAATTGTTATTTTTTTATGATGAGTAACGATTCTATTAAAATAAAAACAGGGTCGGATTTCAAGTATCTTCAGTTCCTTTGTATTATTGCCAAATGAGATTCTTAAAAAAAATACAGAGAAACAAGCGAACATAATATTGACAAGCTAAGAGTCCGTTTTCAAGAAGAATATATGTATGTATATTGTTTTTTGTACACATTTCATAGATTTTTAAATGATTTTTTTTTACTATTTACATAAATTATTCTAACTTTAAGTCTGTTACGTCATGACTTAAACTACATTTATCTTTAATTTCAGAAAAACATAAAAAGTCTCAAGACTTAATTATATACAACAATAGGTTAAATTCAATTATAAAAAAAATTTTCAATACAGTTCAATTATGTTCCTAAAGGATTTTTGTAAGGGTGTCATACTTTCTTCTATGTTTTTTACTATATTCGGAAGAATGGAAGAAACATTAAGTAAGTATTTTATATATAATTTATTGATAAATTAAAATTTCAGTAACTATAAGCCAGAATGTTTTAAATGTTAAGTCGAAATTGAAGATTTTAACAGAATTCGATTGATGTTTATTATTATAGAAAAACAAAAAGTCAAAGTCGAGAACTTGACACGACTTAAGACATTTTTGCTTTTTAGGTACAAATTTTTAATTATAATTAAAAATTAACGTATAGTAGCTATTTGGTCATTTAATTTTCATATGTTAATATTATTAAAAATATAATTTTTTTGTTTCCAAGTTTTAGAAAAAGAAATTGAATTTTTCGAAAATGATACCATAACAATGAAATGTGATTTTAGTGAAATTTTCCAAAATTCTGATGAAATAGATGTAGTAAAAGTTTTTGCAGCCAATTTTGAATGGTTCTTTATTAAAAATGGATCTGTGACTCCTCTGTTAAATAATAGTAATGATAAATTTGTTGAAAATTCGAATTTGAGGAATTTTTATTCAATATCTCAAATAAAAAACGTGAATGAATCTGATGAAGGTACTTATGAATGCCGAATTAATATTGACGACCAATCGCCATATAAAATTAAATACAATACGAAATTTCAGAAAAATAAAGGTAAATAGCGTTTAATGATTATTATTTTTTGCAACATAATAAACAATACTCATATAATGATAATTATAAATGAACAATAAGAGATGTGAACTCTAAAAGGAATTTCATCTTTTTTTTTTTTAAATTTTATATAAGCACCTAAAATATTATGCAGAAAAAAATAAACAATAAAATTATTAAATTAAAAATTTTATAACATTTTAATTAACTCTTATTCTTAATTAATTTTTATAGTAACTAATATTACTGGCATTCAAGGTAAACCAATACAAATTCTCTGTGATTTTAAGAAAAACAAAAATGAAGGACAAATTTTTTGGGAATTGAACGAGAAAATTCTAAATATTGATGAACATCCAGTAGATCCAAATCCAACTGGTAGATTTTTAAGTTCTGCAATAAATATAAAAAATTTAGATAAAGCTAAACATGAAGGAGAATACAATTGTATTTGGAAAAATTCAAAAGGAGAAAAACAAACAAAAATATATTTCCTAAAAATAAATTTAGACAATGAATTAGGTAATTTTTTTTTCTTTAATATTTATAATAGAAAAACTATATTAACATACCATTTTTTTAGATTCTAATTCATCTAACAAAATTTCTGCTAGTATTAAAAGAATTTCTGTTACTAATGCAGTAATCTTAGCAGTCATTCTTATCATTTTTAATAATGTGATGTAAGTCACGAAAATTTGGTTTCGTGAGTCTTTTACATTAAAAATTTTCAATCACAATTTGATATCTTGGTCACCATATTAATTAGTGTTGCCACTATCGTTCAAATATGTTTTTTTTTTTTAAATTTTAAAAAATTTTCAAATAATTGATGTGATTGTGACACATCATCGTCAAATTGATGACATTCTAAGTAATTTTCTATTAATTTCAAGTATAATAAATTTAATTTAAGTCCAAAAATACCAAAAAATACTTTTTAAAAAATTTTAATTATTTTAATTAAATTGACATGAGCATAGATAAAAATTTTTATACTAAGATTTAAACCAAAAAATTTTTTTAACATTTAAAAATTATTATTATAACAATTATTATAGTAAAATTTAAAATTTTTAATTATTTATTGTTAAATTGAATAAGATACTCGTAACTGTTGTTATAGATAAAATAAAAATTTATGTGATATTAAATGGAAAAACAAAACTGTACAGTTAAGAAATAGACAGTTTCCAAATGACAAGAAAAAAATAAATAAATTATTATTCGATTTCCTCAAAATGCTTACATGTCTCAAATGCTCAAAGGACAGGCATTACATACTTTAATTTTTCGCAGCAAAAAAAAATCTCAAAAATCGTAATTTAATAAAATTTAAATTGTTTTTCAAAAATTTTAATCGAATATGCAACATTTTTGTCATTTGGAAGCCTGTCGATAAAATAATTTAAGAATTTGGATAAAGAAATGTAGTGTGAAACTCATTAATTTGAATTCTATCAAATTAAAAATTAATTTTTTAGACAAAATTATTAAAAAAATAATATTAAAGAAGAAAATTATTGCAATCGATACGAAATGTATACAAAATATGTATATAAAGAATATTAATGAAATTAGTTTAAATATGTGCCATAATTATATATGTATGTATGTGTTATTACCTCGGCAATTACTAAAAATTGCATAAAAGTTTTCACCAATTTAACAACTATAAGAGCGTAATCGTATGCGTATGTCAAACTTCAAAGTATGTATGTATAATTTGATTTTAGCTATTCATTCTTTATACAAATGACAAATTTGGCTGTGTATTTTTTTTTTTTTTGTTATTAAGGGAAGCTATAATCAATTAATCTAAATAATGTCACTTGTTCGATGAAAGTCAAATAAAAATTTTAATAAACAAATCAAATTCAGATAATGCTGTAAACGTCAAATGCTTGAATTTTGTAAATTTACTTAACAAATACAATTATTTATTTTTATTTTAATTAAATTCAATTTTTTTAAATTTTTATCAATTTTAGTTCGAAAATTTTAAAATAAAAAATATCAAATAAGTTTTGTCATAAGAATCATACGAAATATTTGAATTTCATTTTAGTTTGATAATTCCGATTATATAATCACATAAAATAAGTATTAAATAACTTGGTATTAACAAGTTTTAACAAGTATTAAATATTTTTAAATATATAATACATACTTTAGTTAGAGGGATACGACACATGCATACACATATATGTACCAATTTATATTTAATAATAAACATTGTTTTTATTTTTAATACTGTCCATTTACTATTCAACTTGGTTCTTCAACATGTTGAAAATATAGCAAGTTTTCAATAAGTAGAATCGTTAATTGATAAACCATTTGTTGGTTGAAACTTGGTTAAAGAAAATATTAAAAAATTATTTAATTTTTGTTAGCATAAATTTGTATGTTGTATAAAAGTACATCTGCAGTTTTAAAAAAATTAAATATAATATTGAGGTGTTGTAGGATCAAGTTGAATAGTGGTTGAGCAGCATAAGAATATTTTTTTTTTTTTATACAAAATATATTTATGTACAATTTTCTATGTATTGATTACTTATGTTTACAGTATTTATGTATGTATGTATTTATTTTTTAATTTCTTTTATATAAACTCATTATTTTCTTCCTTTAATATCAAATCTATTATAATTTTGAATACTCACACATATATTCAATATGAAATTGGCTACTAAATTTAAATATATGTTAATTAAATTATTTTATTTTCAATATTTTCAATATTTTTTGCATTTTGTATAAAATTTTTATATAAATTTTTTAACATAACAATAACAATTATAAAATATAAAATTTTATTTAAATTGAAAATATTTTCCTATATATCGAATTTATATATAAAATTATATACAAAGGAAAAGTACTTACTTCAGTACTTAATTCTTATATTTACTTCAGTGCATATGAACATATAAGCATTAAATTCCAAATTTACAAAAAAATAAAAAAAAATTTATAAAAATTTTCAGTGTTTTTATTAAATTCAATTAATTTAATGTTCCTCTTTCAAATTAAATATTATGACAAAAATTTTTACAAAACTTCTTTATATACACGCTTTATCTTTTTAGTTATATTATTCACGTCCACAATATTAAAAGACGATATCTTTAATAATATTTTTCAAAAAATTCATTTTCAGCCACCTTTGAAAAAATACGGATGGTAAGAATTCGAATGCCATTCTTACCATTCGAATTCTTACCATCCAAAAAAAAATACTTATTACTATTGCTGTATGAAATTGAAATTTGCCAAGCAAATCAAATTAATAAGCATAGCATAAAATATATCCAATTATTCACAAATAAGCCCCGATAAAATGCAGAACAGCAGTCACCTCGCTACATGGCTTCCATCAAGTTTCTAAATCAAAACCAGATTCAGAAAAGCCTCTATCAAGGTCATTGAACACGTCCTATAGAGCCTATTATGCGAAGACATGTAAGACGCTGTAGTGGTGTAAAAACAGAACACACCATTGTCTGTTCGATCTTCTGCCATCATGTGTAGTTAGTGAAGGTACAATAAATAATTTTAGGTCTGGAACCTCATGTTACTTCACACAGCCTCCTCAAAACCATTGAGCCGGTATGGCTCTACCGGCACAAACAAATCAATTAGTAAATAATAGAATACGATAGAGGGGGTAGGTAGAGCCCGCATTCTTCCGAAAGAAAGCATAAATAAAAAAAGAATTAAAACACCCGGAGCATATTATTATTATAATCCGAAATTATTAAAGATTTTACCGCCCGCAATTATATAATAAAAATTTTTTTACAAGCACAATTAACTTTACCACTGTGGCCATTGTGCCACCTTATATAAAACACCGTGTTAATAAATTAAATTTTGAAGTTGTACGGCACCAATCCGAAATACTGCCTCAGTCACATTCAATTAAAATAGTGTCTGAAATTTACTATATATAATATAATTTATTTATGAGAATTTTGCTGAATTTAACTTATAAGTTTTTGAGTTAGCACTGGGACTGTCTAAATAAGATAAAAATATAATATTAAAGCTAACAAACCGCAAATTTATAGCTTGGGTTTATTTCCTTCCGGAGATAGTTACATACAAACTATTTTTAACAAAGGTAACTGGTAACCCTGATCAACACACTATAAATTTTTTTAGTATGTGTTTTTATTTATGCATATTGTATGTATGTATTAATTGTTTAGATTTTTCAATTGGTGTAAAAGGTTTCTAAAAAAGCTTTCATTACATGTTCAAACGTTGAAATCGAAACATTGAAAAGTTTACTCTGCCTCAAATAAACGAAAATTTTTTTTAATTGCGTGGTTGTTATTAAAGCAATGATAATTTAATTTTCGACTTCGAATAATTTAAAATTATTAAAACATGTTAATATTCAATCGTCATAAGTGTCATTGATTTTTATAAATAAGTAAATGGAAAAGAGACAAAAAGTGGAGTAAAAAAAAATTGGAAATTCCCTAAACCTATAAGATTTGAAAGCTTTTAAAGAAATTATTAACGTGAAAAGTAACAAAATTATTGTGAAAATTTTATATTTAAGTATAATTTTTTAAGAGTTTGATATAACGCTTTGTTAAACAGCTAAATTTCAATTGTTTTCATTAGTAAGATTATGACCTTAATTATACATATATATAGTACATATACCTTTGTATGTACATTTAGATATTAAAGCTTTAATATTTAAATACAAACATAAGGTACTAATACACGCATAATATTGACTTTTGTTAAAACAAAACTAATAATTGTAACAAGAGAATCAAATCAGTGAACGGCGAAGGCGGACGATTTCAGTTGTTGTTAACCCAGAACAACAATGGAACGGCAATGTGCAGTATTTTGCAGATAATGTCAAAAAAGTAGAAACAAACAAAGTAGAAAGAAATTTTAATGTCGGCGATAATTTCGCTTGATTCTAGGCAGTTCCATTTAAATATGTGTATGGATTCTGACATTCTGCCGCGGGAAATTACTCTTGTTCCTTTTTCAACTTAAATTAAAAAATACTATGGAATAATTTAACAAATTTTACAAACTATTGTTTATAGAAATAAAAAAAAAATATATAGGTCAATTTTAAAGTTTAGTTCAAAGGTTCACTTCAAAATAAAATTTTTATATAAATGTATGTGCATACATATTATGTATACATATGAACATTGCTTATTAGTCTGGAGAATTGGATCACCAAAAATTAATCGATAGAAATTATTGATCGACATTTGAATTCAATCATCGTCCTATTCAGTCTAGTTCATATACCCAACTGATCAAGTATGTACAAACATATATGACTATAAATTTTCAGAATCTTCTAAGTTTTGATCAATTTTAGGAAAAGCTAACAGCACGACAAATAGAGAACTATTTATTAAAAATATATATGTATATTTGATATATAGTTAATGCTAAAGAGCATTACTGATAAAGAAAAAATTATATTTCCTTCTAAAGAATATCAAAAAAAAGAAATTGTTTACAAAAAGCACTGATAAGTTAGTGATAACACACTTATCAAAATAAAATGATTAACGAAAAATTCTCTATCATGCACAACAGCCTTTACATAATATGTTTTTATTAGGTAAATTACCATTTTAAAATTTAAATGACTTTCAAATTAGAAATTTCTTGTTTGACAACGGATCGTTTGTCTGCTTTCAAAATTTTAATTTTTATGTACTAATCAGTATTTTAATTTATGGTAGCATTTGGACAGAGTTGATCGTGTCAATTCTTTGATATTCGTACCAATGAATTATAATGTGTCTTGTGTTGTGACATTTACTGTCATTAAACACTTGGTGAAAATTATAAACACTTTTTTTTCGATAAATTTGTTCTTATTAATGCACACTTATGATCACTAGGTATGATCAAAAATTGCAAAATTCGTTCTACATGACCAAGCAATAGGTTCCAATCAAAATTTTTCGATTCATTCTTTTTTCAAACATTATTTCATATATACTATATAACAATTAAAATTTGAAAATAATCCGAGTCTTCGTTTCACATTCTTTTAAAGATGTTTTAATGTAAAATCAAAAAAAAAAAAATATCATATTTTAGCAAAATATATATGTATGTACACATGCGTGTAGTGTATGCTAATATAATTTATAATTAAATGACTACTTGCAAGCAACAGCAAAAACACAAAACAGACATTCTTATCCAATGATATTATGAAATACATATACAAAATTTACACACATACAAATTAATTTTTAAGTAATTATCGACCGCATTGCATACAATAAAGGAGATTATGGAATGGCAACAAATTTTGAATGTCGAGTTTTTGGTGAAAACGTACTTTCCCATAGTAGGGAATCGTAAATAAACTATTTGTAGAGAAATGTCAGTGTGTCGATCTGCGTGTGCACGAGTGTTTCTCAATTTTAGTTGAACTGATTTTGATAAAATTTTAATTCGGCTATATAACGAATTGATCAGCTTTTGTGATATATCAAACCTCGGGAACTGGACCTTTTCCAGGGGCCGATTTTAATTTTTGCGCATATAAAGATAAATAATTAACCAATTTCCTTAAAATTTAACATTTAATATTTAAGCTCTGGTTGCTACCAAAACTAACTGATCAACTTTTCAGTGAACTTTTAGATAGTTTGCAGAAAACGGAATTTTACTACGTCAAATTTGCATTTTTTCTATGTATGTTGAGGAAAACTTTACAAGAGTTCTTAAAATTAGAAAGAAGTGTTTAAAAGCCATTTACAAAATCTTCTGTAACAATTTTACTAAATTAAACAATACAAATTGCTGTCGGTTATGTGCTGATCACATCAGATTTTTTCTTTTTATTCCAGTTCAACATTATTATTTGAGTGAAAAGTAGTGGTGTACATAATATGTAAATCGTATAGACAAAAAAAATGTTGATTACAAATAACATATTGTTTTTTGCGGATACCAAATATCTCCACTACAAAATGAGCTCATGAAAATTATGGTGTGAAACATGTATTAATTAGATGAAGATATTTCATAATCTTATAAATGAATCCGATTTTCTAAGTCCCAATGTTTTATACGTTATAATTAATAAGCAAATAATGAAATACCAAAGTTTTTATTCATTTTACACTAATTAAATATTACATTTTATTTTACAGATTTGATTAAATATTTTTTTTATCTATAAAATTTAATAAATTAAGAATTTTATTACATTAAGTGATAATTTGACACAACAAATGATAAGCAACTAAATTATGATTGTCAAATATGAGGTTTTAATATTATTTAGTATAACAATAGTTTTAGGAAAAGAAATTTATAAATCTGGTAAATATAAATTGAATACAATGATACAAATTATATATTTTTTCTAAATAAATTTTCAATAAACACAAATTAATATTCTTATATAGTTGAAAACAGAGATGTAATAGAAGGAGTTAAAGTAATACTTACTTGCGGTTTTAATCTACGTAATATAGATCAAACATTTCATATATCTTGGAAATCTCCTGAAACTTCGAATATAACTAATTATGAAATAAAATATGAAAAAGAATTTGTATTATCATTTATGGAAATTGGTCTGATAAAAAAAACTTCTGATGAAGATTATTTTTATTCTTGTCAATTATCCAATGACACAAATATTTTAGGTGAAAAAATCTTCTTATTAAAAGTTCGTGACAGTAAGTTTTATTTTAATTTAAAAAAAAAAATTATTTTTGAAAATATTAATGAAAATTTTATTTTTCTACGAAATTTCAGAGAATGACACGAATAGTGGATTTCAGGATAACAAGAACCTTATGTTACACATAGTTATGATTTTAACTTCAATTATGTTGCTCAGTACTTTGACAATCATAGTAAGTCTTTATTTCATTATACAACTTTAAATATACACACATGGAAAAGATATGTTAAATTAATTGAGATTTGTATAAATGAAGCGGTCAGCGTATCTGTGGCTTATCCAATATTTTTACAAAAATTAGCTATTATGTTTAATAGAGCTGTAATTACCTAAAGAATTGTTCTATATTTTCAAAATACTTAGTATACTACTGTTGTCACTCTATTTTGACATAAGATTGTTTTTGCCTTTTAAAAATTTTCATTGCAATTGAAATCTTGACATTTCAATCGCAATGTACTCGAAATGTTCCTCAACTCGAACGCCTTAAATGTTATAACTTTTCAAATTCACAATTATCTTTGTACTTTTTTCACAATAATATAATATATTTTAATAATATTTTTTATTTTATAGTTATTCAGAAGTAAAAATACAACAAAGAATACAGACAGAAGTTATCAGCCGACAAATATCGAAGAACAAATAATGAAATAATTTATATGTGACTGATAGAAAATTGTACTTATGTATTTGCCAAATATTTTAAATCTCATTAATAATATTTTTTAAATTTTGCCCTTATTTTATGATATATTAATACAAAAGTGCCTTAGTTTCCGAATGAAATGATAGAAAATACATAAAAATTTACTATAAAATATTGACCATTTTATGGTTTTATAATTTAGTATACAAGAATTATATTTTAAAAATGTATTCAAAATAATTAATGTAGATTTAAGGTTTCAGGAAAAATAAAGGTATTACAATGATAAATAATCGCATTTTTAAAAAATCATTATAGCATTTTTTAAAATTATGACTTATGTCAAACAAAAACATATACAGTAATTGAACAAAGACGATCTTGGAAAATTAATCAAGAAAGAAAAATAATGAAACTTTAATAGAAATCAATAATTTATTTAATTTTGTAAGCTTATCGTCACCTCTGTATCATTATAGTGTTATGTTGCAAAATACAAGTACAGACTAACGCGTAGACTAGCTTGAAAAACTAATTAATTATAGATACTTGGACTACTTTTTACCTGTTTTGGTGACATTTATTGTGCTACAACGACTCTACGTCTATATTCTATGAAGAAAGGCTTAATTAACAACACACCATAACTTCTGGTCAAAGAGATAAATTACCAAAGAGAAAAAATTCGTCGGTGAAACTTACATGTGGACTTCGTCGAGTATAAACTAAGAGCGTAAATAATCAAGTAATAATTTTCACGAAATTATTTTATCGTTATAACAAATATACATAATTTTATACATTATTTACTTTTATACACATGTATTTTATAAAAGCAAATATTGTTATTACGAATTATGAACTAATACTCGTATTCCATCAACATCGGAATTCACATACATTTAAAAATTTTTGAAACGAATAAAGAAACAAATGAGAATTTCGATTTTTCTCTCTGAAAACGAAAGATAATTGTATGTATGTGTGTACCCTCTATAAATTTTCCAAAAATATCTTTAAAAAATATAAAAGCCAAATTTATTTCTTAAGAAAATTTGCATATTTTTCATGATTAATATTGGTGTTGACGTAAATGGCAAATTAAAATAAACAAGAACCCCCAAAACTGGTGTTGCAGTTCTGAACGGTGGGAGGATAAGATAATTCATTGGAGTTTTTTTTTTTTTTTTAGTAAAAAAAAATTTTCGTCTGGAGAACGCGCCGAAAATCATAAAAAAAAAAGTCAACCAACATGCATAACAGCTGTAACATCGAAACCTATAACATGAAGCCTTTATTTGTATTTTTCTTTAAAACAAATTTTAAAACATACACAGGTTATCACTTTAACTACCTGATACTTGCTACGTGTAACGTGAAAGTTATATATGAATCGGTTGTTATGGATGATGAAGCGCATCGAAAAAACGAAAAACTAATTTAAGTTAATTTTTAATGTGAGTTTTCTAACTGTTTTCGAAATTCCATGCTTAAACAACTACTACTCAAAAACGATGAGTCAGAAATCAATTGCAGACATGACAACTAGCACTAATAATTAAAAAGAAACTGTTAAAAAACCCATTATACTGCTCCGAGCTCCAAGAAATTATCCTATTCTCGATACCTTTAACCCAAGTATTGGATCACCCTATAGATTAGAAAACACATGTATGTATACATATCTAACCCCATAATCAACGACTCTGTTTTAATTTAAAACATTTTTGCATATATGGGCTGGTGTCTGCATATGTACGTATTCATCTTTAACAAATATAGAAGATAAACAGCGTTTTCATTTTCTAGGAATTGATGAATCATAATTTATATAAATAGGTTTGAAATACCTTTTTAAGTTGAAGTTTTTAAGTTGGCTATATTGAGATTCAACCATATACAATAAATTTACATTTCTTACAAGAATAACTTCATCTCGCTTCAATTTTCAGATTAAAAATTTTCAGATTAAAAATTTTCAGTTGATATTCGAAGGTTTTATTAAAATTTGTGTCGTAATTCACTGATAAATTGTGTTCAATATATTGTACAGCCCTGACATGCATAGACATGCGAAAAATTTATAGGAAAAAAAAATCGAAAGTTCAAACATACTTTTTTTGTTATTTTTCTCTCGAATTCATTAATACACGCATACATACAATTTTCTGTTCTCTTTCGTAATGAAAACGTCTGTTTATGAAAGTTCTACAAAATTTTCTGAAATTCGAGATTCACATTTCATTATACAATGAAAGAAGGCTGAACGATAGAATAAGCAGAATAAAAATTGGAGTTTTTATTTTTAGTTCATAAACCTCAGTCCTTTGGTCTTTTATTTTATGAACTAAAAATTATACAGAGTAAAGTGTTGCTATATTGATAATATTATTTTTTCAACAAATTTTAAGAAATACAGATATACAATACTTATCAATCAATATGATTATGATTTCGGGAAACTGAAACGTTAATTTCCTAAAAGAATGTAAAAAACAAATTAATAAAAATTTGTCGATCTATGCTAAATAAATTATACTCCAGGGCAATCTGAATATGAAATCAACACCTTGTACTAGTTTTTGAAATATTTAAAATTACCTTTGAAAGTTGTTAGCTTTCAAAGCAGCTACTTAAATCTGTCCAGCCAATTCACTAAACTTCTAAAACATAACTGTAATTGGACATACGACTGCCAAATTTCATGCAGCTTGTTTTATAATTTTACTCAAATATTCAAAGTGAGTTTTTAGGAATGTATAGTAACTACCTAAACCTGTTGTTGAAACAGCCATCCAATTACAATAGAAGCTTTGGCAGAAAAACAGAAACGTTTTCTAAAAATTTTTTGGTATTTCTTTTCTTAACATATGTAAATATTCATTGTGGGGAAGACTCATTCCAACATCATTGTTATACTTTATTAAGATGTATAGGGTATAAAACTGTTTACATAATATCACAATATAGCGTGTATTATAACGAAAGAGAACTTGTTTTTTTTTAATGTGTTAGTTCATAACAAGCAGTCAACTTGAAAAGTGTTTTTTAAAAAAATGATCGGAAAAATAAAGTAAAATAAATTTTTCAATTTTAACAATAATATTTTAATATACATACATATGCATCTAAATATGATAAAAATTTTGATCATAACCAGTGTTACCAAAGTGAAATATTTTATTCCAAAGGGGAATATATTTGTCGAGAAATGTATATTTATATCCGTACGAACGTATGCTCGAAAAATATACTAAATTTGCTTAACCGTTTGTAACGCTAAGAAATAATGGTCTGAGGTATAGACTCAAATGTATGTTTTTGATCGGCGTCGAATTCTGAGCTGATTTAGCTTTGCCAGTCCGTCCATACGTCTGTCCTCACCACGATAACTCAAAAACTAATTGAGCCAAGTTCATCAAATATTCACAAATGATTTATTATTATAAATGCAAAAACCCTATTTAAATTTAATATGATCGGGGTGCTGGTTCAGGTAGTTGCCATACAACTTCGATAATTATTTGGCTATATCTCAGAAAATATAAAAGTTGAGATATTGAAATTTCGCACAAGTAAATATATAAATAGGGCCGATGTATTTGATAAAACTCATTGAAATTTCTTGGCTCCTTCTGGCAGCTGCCATACAACTTTAAAAGTTATTTGACTATATTCCAGAAACTGTAAAAGCAGCGATATTGAAATTTCGCACAAACGTGTTTGATAAAAGTCGTTGAAATTGCTTGGCTTTTTCTGGTAGCAGCCATACAACTTCAATAGTAGTTTGGACATATCTTAGAAAATATTTAAATCTCGGCAACTTAAAATCATAGTCTGTCCCATAGCCATCTATGGCATATTTATTCGCACATAGGATAACAAATTCATACGGGTATCACAAAGTTGACTTATATTTAGTCAACATCTCAGTATAGAATATCTGAGGAAAATACTAAGTCGAATCAGAAATTTTTTTAAATTACTGTAGTTTTTTAGAGCATCTCTTTTACTAACGATTTTGTAAGCTGAATAATTTTTTTTTTGAATTCTAACACCTAGCCACAAGAAATTTAGATAATTAATTATTAATGAATTTAATAAATTTATAATTAAAAAATTTATATATATTTTTTTTTTATTTTGCAGTTTTATTTAAAAATTCAAGAAAAACTCTAAAGAATTAAAGCAAGCTCAAATGGGTATTCGTATTATATTTTTGCTTGCATCAGTCATATACTGTTTTGCACAATATTGTGATAACGTTGTTGGTGAGTAGAAGCAAATCCCAAGTTTAAATATCGCAATTGTATAATCAAATACTTAGTATTTTACCAAACCACAACTTTATATTCAAAATTCGAAACTTTTACTCTTAAAAAAATGTAAAAATTTCTTTAAACTTTCTTGAAACCCTAAAACAAACCATGTTTCTTGAAACTTTCTCACCTATCAAATGCAAAGTAATTTAACCCTAAATTGCAGGATTCGATTTTGTATTTTATATAAAATAATAAGAGTCAACTTAATTATAGGTCATGCTAAGGTGTTTTTTTCATTGTACAAAAAAAAATTCAAATAATTCATAAAAAATTCTCCTCAGTCAGTTCCTACTTCTCCGATAATTAATGAAATATTGACTAAACAAACTGGGTAAATCTTATATTAGAATTCTGCAGGGAGCTCAGTTTCTTGATTTATATTTTCGGGTATATACTTATTTCTTGAGGAATATTTTCGGAATAACTACAATAAGTCATGGGTTATTACAATAAAGAATTTTTCGCTTGCCTATATTTTTCCTTCCTTCGGAAAAGCGATATTCAAAATTATTCGTGAAATGGACCTTTCCACGGGCTGATTTTACATTGTTGAAAATTTAAAAAAAAAAAAGAATATTCACCAGATCAACTTAAAGTTTTTATACATCAACAACTCTTGGTCAATCCAATCAGGTCGATAACCAAATTTGGCTCTTAGAAATGGTGGTGGAAAGCCAAATTTATATTTTTCTATGTTAGCTACATTTAACAATTAAGGGTTAAATTATTAATATTTTTAGACAGTTCAAATATCATAACGAATATTTTTCAAAATTTTTTTTTGTTGTTTATTGAATTTTATATAATTTGTAGTTGAAACAATCACTGCTGATGAAGGTGGAAACATTATGCTTACGTGTGGCTTTGAAATAACTGATAAAGAATGTAATTCATCAATATATTGGACATACCCTAATAAAATTTTTACTCATCATGAAAAAATATATGAAAATAGAATTTTACTATCATTTACTGAAATTTTAAATTTCAATGCAGATGAAGATACGGGATCATATTCATGTTCTCTTATTTCATGTAATAATACATCATATGAGAAACGTTTCATTTTAAAATATGATAACAGTAAGTATAATTAAAGAAGTATAATATTTTAATACTTAAATTAAAAATATAAAAAAACAACCAATATTCTAGGTGACATTAATAATAGAAGGGAAATTAGATATAGTTGGAGCTTATTTACAGTTCTCATTTTAATAATAGTTTTAATATTATTACTTGTTATTCTCATCATTGTAAGTCTTTAATAGTTATAATAAGATATTTTAAGCGCAAAATTAATTGTTAATTTATTTCAGACAAATATTAGAATCATTTTACGGAAACGGCAACTTGGAAGTTATCAAATTTAAACTGATACAAGGCATAAAATAATTAATATAATATAATTCCAAATAAAAACAATAAACACAAAATAAAAAATTGTGGAGACTTTTTATTGGAGAAATAAAAATTTAATAATTTTATTATCTTTTGTAGTTAATAATGGCATTTTGTACTTAATAATGGCAATCAAACAATCAAATAATTTGCATGATCAGCCTCCATTATTTATAAGTAAATATATTTTATTATAGTTCATTCGTCTTATTTTTCAACAGCTTAGATGTACAGCGTCAAAAATAATTCATTCACGTTTCGAAAATCATTACAGTTCCAATGTTTCCTTTGAACCCTAAATAAAATGAATGAACTGTAATAAAAACCATATGTAACATTTGTAATATTTTTTTTAAATAAACATAAAAAATTTTTTATTGCAACAAATTTTTAAATAAAAAATAAAGATTTATCTTTTTAATTTAAACTCCGATAAAATTCTATATTTTTTTAGTGTTGCCAAAATTTAAATAAGATCATTGAAATATAAAACGATGTCATCGGATATAAATAAAATTTAAATACGACGTTGATATTTGGTAACCGATGAAGGATGCTATAAACATAAAAATAGCCTGAGTGAGTTTTAATACTAAGACATTGGCGGTGAATCAACATATAAATTAAAAATTCCAACCATTTGAAAAATGAATTCTTATATGGCAGATTAGCATCTGAATTGCTTGTAAATGATTATTCAAGATAATGTAAGATATTCATTTCAAGGACTGAAAGGGATTTGATGCAGTTATAAGTTTTAAGGATATGTTTTCCAAAAATTAAATGAAAAGCATGTAAAAATACTGTTTTGCATAAAATAACAAATAAATAAAAATTGTTATAATAAAAGCTCAATGTTGTATGTTGGTCTGTACGTCATACTTTTTAAATTACCGTCGAAAAAATACACGAATCGGAAAAAACTGCGCACTATTGTACAACATCTTTAATGAGTCTTAGTAAAAAATGGTATAATAGTTTTGAGATTGATAACAGATTAACAGATAGATCATTGAAGAACAACCGTACAATTTGAATAACACCTTTATACAAAAAAGCACTTTTTAAGATTTTGTGCTTTTAAAATAAGTTTGTGTTTCTTAAATAAGTTTTGAGAAAAATAAATATCAACACAAGCGACCCGTTTAATATCGCTTTAATACGAAATTGTTTATATACGATTTATATTATGTTTATGACTTATGAGTTTTTAAAAATTTTAATAACTAAATTAATTATAATTTTGTACCCAGTTTCTGTTAGACGTATGACGAGACAAGATAGAAAGCTCTTCAAAAGTCATAAAATTTCACAAATGTATTTAAACATAAGTTATGGCTTGTTACGTAGGGATTTTTTTTTTTATTATGTACAACTCATGGTGGTGTTGCACATATTAAATTTCATCAAAATCGACTCAGTCGAACAAAGACTAACAGATTGAAAGGCAGGCAGACAACAAGCCCGATAAACCGACTTTTCTCTAAAAATAATCTATTACGCTTGCATATCATGAAAAAGTGCGTCCCTTATTTTATGCAATGCGGTCGGTAAAAATATGAAAAAAATTGAAATACTCATCAAAAATTAAAAGAAACTTTTACGAAAATAATTTAGTTTATGAATTTGGAAAACAAAAACACTTCTTACTTCTTAAAAACAAGTAGTTTCTTAATATCAAAGAAATTTTTGCTATTAAATTAATAGGAAGAAAATAATCACTTACTGTATAATACCTAATTCATCATGTAATCAAATGATTCTTTAATGAATTAATCAATGATTATATAATGCATAATTTATTTTAGTTACCTTTTTGTATTCGCGGCTACCCAAAACGATCAAGTTGCTTGCATGGCCCACACTTTAAACAAAATGCTTTTTGCCACAAATTTTCATATAATTATGAAAATTTTGCAGAAAAGGAATCTCGTTGAGAAGTTTTAGGGAGATTTTTCGGATGTAAATGCGGCAATTTTCTTACATCTGGCTTCATAAAAAAAAGTAAAATTTTTGCAAGCTTTTAAACAAGTTGGTAATATGTAACTGCTCATTAAACAAAAGTTCCTGTCTGTGTTCTCTTCAGCACCCATCACACACCTTTTAATGCAACAATTTAGCAATATTTCCAATATAAAGCAGTTAGTAGCGCTTATTTGCTTTAAAGATTGCGATAACTTGATCCTGCTCAAAATCAACACATCCCGGAACACAAACTTTGAAAAACAAAATCAAAAATGAATATTTTCTTTTGAGCATAACGATGTCCGATACGATTTCTATAAAAAAAAAAATATACAACTTACTATTGTGGGAGGATCAGAGCGAATGTGAGCACATTTGTTCTTTAACACTATAACTGTAATTTTGTTTCGTGTGTCAGTGTTGGCGCAACATAATCTGACCCCATTTACAAATACGAGTATTTTTTTATTTAAACTGGTATACTTGTGTTTTAGTTCTTTTTGTAATATATTTAAAGCAATATGTTCTGGTAAAAATCGCTTAACCCCCCAAATTTTACTTTTTCTTTCTGTGGCCCCCTTAAAATGCGTTCTGGCCTACTGGGGACACGTTGATAAACACTACTTTAGACAATATTCATAATTCAGCAATATGGTTGCTGAATATATATGCACCAGTTGTTTTTCGAAAAAAAAAATATTATTTTCTCGGAATAAGGAGTGGATTGAAAAATTTGTTACAAATGAACTTGAAAAATTTAAAACCGTAAACAAATTCCTCGAAAATAGATTACCGTTGAATTAGACATTCGAAATGAAATCATGCAAATATTTTTGATTACAGAAACGCACCTAGTGTAAATGTTATGAAAGCGAAATACCACAAGTAACCATTATATGGGATAAAAGTTGTAATCCCAGTCAACATTTTTTTTATTAGTTCAAGTATGTATTTAAAGCTTTCATGAGTTTTCATATAACATGATGTTTAAAGCTTTCATGTCATAAATATAACATGATGTAATATTTATCCATAATATTAATAACACAATCCGTTTATTGGTTTGTGTCCATAATAAAAAGGAGGGTGGGATAAATCAAATTTTTTAAAATACTAGCACTCCTAAATGTATGCAAAATATTTTTTAAATTATTTAAATTATTTATTTATTTATTTCTCTGAAGAGCAAGGTCTGCTCGTATAGAGTGTACAATGTTTAATTACATAACATACCATTATTTTTGTATAAAATTACATAATAAATAAGTTAAATTTAAAATTAAGAACAAATGGCAAAACAAGATAAAAAAAAAAAAAAATAAAAGTGAATTAAATTAGATTAATTATTTTAAGAGTATTTTAAAATTTATTAAGATATTTCATGAAATAAAAGCAAGAAAATGTAATATGATTAATATGATATAATAAGATTATGGTACAACAGACAATTAAATCCTAAATTGACTTTTGTAATATTTCAGTTTGAATATTTATATACATTTAAGAAATTCATTTATTACAACAATTGTGATACTAGTATGGTAATACTTTATCATACTCGTATCAGATATTTGTTTTGTCTGCAAAATTTACTGGTATCACTTAAAAATATAGTATGTAAATTATTGCGCCAAAACTTCATAATAATAACTGAAAAGCTGAATTTCAACACAAATATATATTTTCTAGAAATCGAAAATTTCCGGCCAGCACGACATACCTTAATATCAAAACCGTTAGAAAATTTGCAACTTATTCTGCGGTTAAATTAGCAGAACTAAGATTAGTTAAAATATAAAAAAAAGTGTTAAAAAAATTTAAGAGAAGCCAAGAAAATAATGCCTTTCTAGCAGAAACAGGGAAGAAACAAAAATATTTTTTTCACATAGAAGAATCTTAGAACTATTTGATAAGAAATGAGAAATTTTTATTTTTTATGAAATTTCCTTGTGAAAGAAATTAAGTGATGTACTAACTTCACTGGTCTATTAAATACATAATATGTAAAACAAAATATCGTACAAGAAACTTTTGTATATACAATGATATACGGGAATCTTTCATTACTATTTCAGCTGCCGCAATCACTCTATTTCAAAACTCAGTATTTTTTCTATTGTATATATAAATCACAGTTTATATACAGTATGTAAAGAATATATTATGTATAACTTGAGGTAGACAAGTTATGAGTAAAGTTTAGGCATCAACATATTTAAAAAAACCCTTTTGAATTTGAAATTTTTTTTTTAATTTGTTTAAAAAAAAACAGTAACACTTTCTCAAATAATTCAATAAGATTTTACACATTTTTCAGTGCAGAACACATACTTAAATTTTATTACTTCGGCAACACTAGTAATATGAATATGTCATTATTATTAACAATCGAATAACTGTCAAGTGAAATCGAAATTAAACATTAGCTGTCATTTAATTAATTTTATTTTCATTTTCATTATTTTATCATTTTCATTATCGGATCTGTATAAATTTAAAAATAAAAAAACACGCGCTTAATATACACACGTTCTTAACATATTTGTGTATGTTCATAACATAAACTAAGGTATAGGCTTGGGCGTTAAGGGAAATTGCACGTCAACACGTGGACATGATGAAAGCCCTCTTCCACAGGTATATGTACATACACACTAATAAAAATCGAAAGATACATATACCACTTCTCAATTTTATTAGTTTTATATTATATTTACATATTTTTTTTGCTTTTTTAGTTTCGAATCATATTTTGGCAAAAAAAAATGCCCAATTTTGTACTAAGGAAAAAATGATATTAACAAACAGTAACAGAACCATACTGATAAAAATTTGGTAAGAATTTTCACTAATTTTTTTTTTTTACCGACCGCATTGTGAATACAATAAGGTAGGCTATGTGATGGAACCAAATTTTGCATATCGAGTTTTTTGTGGGGGCGCATTCCTCCATAGTAGGGATGTGTAAATAAACTAATTTTAGCAACCTGTTGGCCTGTCGGTCTGTTGATCTGTGTGTGCACGCGTGTATCTCAATTTCGGCTGAGCGGATTTTGTTGAAATTTTATATGAAAGTTTATTTTAACTATGGTACGGATTGATAAAATTTTGGAATACATCAAACCTTGCAAACTAGACTTTTTAGCGGGCCTGTTTTACAGTTTTGATCATTTAAATGAAAATGTTCAATAGATTTACTTAAAATTTTATATATCAGCTTCATTCAACTCTACGATAAACCACCTAACTTTTAGAAGAATCAAGTATCGGCAACTGGACGTTTACTACGGGCAAAATATACATTTTTTCGTCTATAAAAAAAAATAATAAACCGATTTCATTGAAATTTAATATTTAAATTCAAGCTGTTAAAACAATCTATAAATTTGTTGGAAAGATCTGGGCTCGGAAACTGATCTGGGGGGACGATTTTTTATTTTTTACCGTATCTACGGAACGAATTGATGGAATTTCTTGAAATTTGATATTTGAGTTCTGGTTGTGACCGAAACTAACTGACGAGCATTTTGGGGAATTCGGGTAGCACAAAGCGAAACTTTACTAAGAGCCAAATTTACCTTTTTCTAGGTACGTTAACTATAAGTTGATTAGCGTCCTTAAAATTATAAAGAAGGATTTGTATGATGTTTGTAAACATACATTGCGGTCGGTTATGTGCTGATAACATTAGATTTTTTTAAAAGTAGTGATTTTTTTGTTTTTTTAAATTGATCATGTAAAAAATATTTTATATTTTCTTTTTTTGTGTGTGAGAAAAATGCTATAAGAAACTATTGTTAGAATTAATATTGTGTGCTTCATCTAAGTATATTCTAATAAGAAAGATTATTTTGCATTAAGGATACAACAAACATTTCTCTTTATAACTGTAGAAGAGCTATGTTTATTAAGTTAACAAAGAAACGAGTCAAAGCAAAAAAAATTAATTAAAAGTTCTTATAACCCACTTATATTTTCTATAGTTTCTATATAATTTTGTTGCTGTTGCTATGCCACCATTTGAGCATTGAAAAAATAAAAATATATTAGTAAATAATAATAAACCACACATATTAAGATTCCAATTTCAATAGATAAAAGATAAAATATACAAACCTGTGTGGTATTAAAAAACCTACGATATAAGTACGTATACATCCATTCATGCATATAAAACAACAAAAAACTTATAAGACCGCGCCTCTTACGGATTTTGTAATATAGAGAGAAAAAATATATACATACATACATATATAACACACAATTACGGTCTATCAATTTTATTATATACTACAATAGAATTGATAATATATAATACATATGTATAATAAAATTTATGTAGAAAATGATATTAGAAAAAAAAAATTTTTTTATGCATGTAAATAATATATGTGTAAATGTTTGAACAACAACACAATTAAAAAGAATTACAAAATACAAAATGAAGGTATGTAATTCTATTTTCAATTGTAAAATAAAAATGCACACACAATTATACAAACCACCATGTTGTTTATAGTGTTACACAATTGTTATCTAGTGATAACAAAATATAACATTAAAATGAAAGAAATTGCTGTGTTGGAATTTCACAATACTCTGAAATTATTTCATAAAATATAATTCCTTTTTTATTTTTGTATGTAGGTATGTATAACAAAAGAGATTTCATTGAAAAAATGAATGTGTATTGTCTTGCGCTTTAATTGAGTTTCGACCGGCAGTCTAAACATTCCGTATTCTGTATACGTACGTGCATTCGTATGTACATATTTAATACATTTAAATATTTAGAATTTTTTTTTTGTCTAATTGGTTTAAATTGCTACATAGTATGTATGTATATTTACCAATGTGAAAATGATACGGTTATTTAAACATATTATGCATGTAAACATATGTATATAGAATTTAAACATATGAATACCAGCTTAAAAATATACGTTAAAATATTATGTATATAATAGCTTGAAATAAAACCCACTAATTCATAATGTTTATGTGTGTACTCGTATATTAAATTAAAGAGGAAGACAATTCTCTAAAAAATCAAAATGGCATCATTAATCACATAAAAATTAAAAAAGAAAAGAGGCCAATTGATGTTATTTAAATTTATATGGAACCTTTATTTATTTGTTTGTTTGTTTGTTTATTTGTAATCTCAATGAGCTGGTGAGCTCGCCCCTTTATTTATCTTATATACCCTTTCAAATGAAAAAATATATTAATCAGAAATAAGTGAATAAATTAAATTAGTAAAACATTTATAAGTTTTATGATATTATACGTTACAGTCAACCCATCCCCCCCCCCCCCTCCAAAAAAATTCCATTTTTTGGCTATTACGTATTTTAAAGAAGCATTAAAAGTTTTTCAATTTTGCAAACGCAAAAAAGTTACGGCTAGCTTTTTCTACCGCAGAACAGCATAATTGAATATTAAAAAGACAAAACGGCTGTTAAAATTAACCATTATATAAGGCCCGTTTTTTTTTTCCAAATTTTTTAGATCGTTTTAGATTGACGTTTCAGGTTGACACCCTCTTCAAGCTATCACCGTTCGAGGATCGCTAAATTTGAATTTTCGACACCATATATTTCTGAGACTGTAAGCTTTTTCACATTCTTTATAAATTCTTTTTTTTTGTCTCATCCTAAATGTATGCAATTCTTAAAATATTTTGTATATGAATGGAAGTTATTTTTATAATGTAATATAAATTGTTTTCAACAGCAGTCATTGAAGGGAAAAGTGCTACTTTATAAACTATTGGTTTGACCGAATTTTATTTTTTTTTTGTCTCATCCCAAATTGTATACAATTTTTGAAGTACTTTAGTATATGTATGGAAGTAATTTTTATGATGTATAAGGTATAGATTACTTTCAAAAATAATATTTTTGAAAAAATTAGGTAGTAGTTATTTGATGACAGTAATTTAATGTATGTACATATATATAAATAAAGATTTAAACTATATTTATGTTTGTATATGCATGTATTGTGTACTCATAGAATTAAACTAATAAAAATATTTTATTAGAAATATGATAGAAAGATTTGTTGTAGTAACTCTAGTCAAAATTACCATTAATTTCATGTACATAAATAAATATTTTCATGTATATGTATACGTAATATTGTATTTATTTATTTCAAATACTCGTATTTTTCTAAACTAAATATTTATTATGTAGTTATTTATTAATCTTATCGATTAACTTAATTGATTTATCAATATTTCAAAGAATAACTTTATCAAGATACTTTCAACACATTTGTGTATACACAGTTTATTATCATATAAACAAATATATTAATTTATTAAAAATACGCTACTACATTATGACCTACCCCAAAAACCTTATTAATTCTTATAAAAGTTCATTGTATATAGTGTTATTTTTAGAATTATATAGAAAGTAAATTTCAAGGTTTCAGTAATTTCAAGGTTTTTTCTAGTATTTACTTATAGGCAATAGCTCTAGAACTTTTATACAATAAGTAGCTTTTGATAACATATTTAAATTATTTACATATATTATTATAATATGTATATATTATATGAATACATACGCGATAGTGAATACTATATTAAAAATGTGTGAAAATTAAAAAAATTAAATGAAAAAGATTTTTTTTTTTGAAATTTTCTGAGAAATGAAACGGAAAGCTTATATATAGAGCTATATTTATTGTTAGGAAAATTTTAGTGAATGCACATCTTTAATGGGTTTCTTTTACGTTCCAAAAAAAAAAAAAAATTAATTCATTACATAATTCGGAAGTACTTGATATTCATAGTATTTACAAAATAAAAAGCAGTTAGTTATAGGATTCATGATATTATTAGTTCGAAATGAATCTTTAATAGCGTTATTCCTCCTGGAGGTCTCCAATGGAGACCCGTACTTGCCCGCATATAATATGTTAAACTAGCTTATAACTTAATAGCCCCCCGGCAATAAAATTTATTTATATTTTTATTCACAAATTGACATTTAATAATGCAACACACAACAAAAAAAATTGAATTTTAAAAAATCAAAAGAATATTTTTTTAAATGTCTTTTTAAAATTTTCTCGGGGAACAATCATCGAAAGACAAAAGTAGGCGGGCCCAAACTGTCGTCAGACCTACCATAGGGGGGACTTTAATTCAAACTAAAACGCACCTTGATGATCAGAAACTCCCAAAACCAGTCAAACTGACTAACCGTTAGTTTTGCTCTGCCGTGGTTTTGTGTTTATATTCCATGGAGAAAGTGCTGTCACAGCACTTCAGACTAAATCGAGAAGTTTCATTAGCTTTAGACTTTTTGTTCAAACACTCGACATTTCTCGACAGGCCTCGACATTTAAATGCTATCTCAAGTGCATCCTATGTTTCATTGCTCAGTTCTTTACTTGGGTAACACCAAGATCCTTAAGAATGTCACTATTTCGCACATATCGTGGAGCATATACCCTATTACGAAGGTATATAAACCTCATATCTTGGCACAACCTCATATCTTCAAGTCACACGACCACATGGGCTTTATCATTTGGTTATATATCAACACCTTATTGTATGTTTCCAAGCCGACAGTACGCCCTAAGAGCCGACAGTTTTCTCTATATTTGTTTTCTAATTCTATACTTTTCTTTTTCACATGTTCCTTCCATCCTTACATTAACATAGTATATTGTAACTTGCCTCTTGTAATTTTTGTGTCGATTCTTCAACATTAGATACTACTCCCAATATTCCCCACATAAATATGATTCAAGTAACTCCATGAGTTGCATAGGTATCAATTTCTTAAGTTAAAATGATAAATCGTGTCAAATCACCAATAACTACCACCAATTTTCAGGCACTAAGACCATATCTCAGGTTCACTGCTGCATTTATCACTTTTTCAAAAATGTCATTACCTTTCTCGGCAACGCTCTTAATATTCCATACAGTAATGAGATCAAATATGATAATATTAGTTTTAGAATTTTAATTTATATCATGGTTTTGTATGTTACGCTTTTAGTTTTTCACAATGATTTCTCAAAATATTTCAATTTTATATACAAAAAAGTTTAATTATGTATAAAATTTTTTTTGTGAACTGTGAATGTATAGGTAAGAATACATATTATATAATATTGTATGTTAATAATTGTACCGCTATACAATCATAAAACATTTATGTTTGCGTAGCGGTACATACATGCATATTTGATTTTCTGTCACCTTATCACATTTATATTTCACAGCATTGCCATGTTTTTGTAAAAATAAAAGAGTATTTATTTATTAAACACAATGAAATTATTTTCTAAATTTGCATTATCTATAAAAATGTTATTAATTAATTGCAATTTATATTTAATAATCATATCTGAAACAGGACGCCACAAATATATTTCAATAAAATTGACTTGCTTCTTAAAATGACAATAAAGAATTCTAATGGGATATACTTCGGGAATTATATTACCTTTCACGATATGCGCAAGCGGGAAGTATATTTTAAGGGCCTGATCGTCTATCTCGCTATTTTACTTGGAAAGTGAGAAGAAAGTGAGTAACTATTATATACTCGTACTTGTATAATCTAATTTTCGAATGAGAAAAATTATTCCGATTGCGAATTATTTTTTTTGTAAATTGTATACAAAAGTTTTTCACTTTGTTTTTGAAAGTGAAACATTCACTCGATAATTTGAGAAAAAATGCAAAAATCCAATTAAAAAAATGAGTAATCTTATTGGAAAAGTGAAATATCCATTAAAATATACTGAGTATTCTGATTTAAAAGTGAATAAAATGTGAGAAAAATGCGAGATACACGATCAGACTGTAAGTTATCAATATTACTTTAATATATTTACTTTTCTTAACTGATTCATTTAACCCTTAAATACGAGTGTTTTTAATAACGTCCATTTAATTTTTTTTCTTTTTTTTTTTGTCCCATCCTAAATGTATGCAATATTTGAAATATTTTGTTATGTAATGGGAACATTGTTCCCAAACAATAATTTTGAGAAAGACGAAAACAAAAATGCGACATGATAGAGACAAAAAATATAAAATACTCTGTAGTGAATTTGTGTAGGAAAAAATTTTTTTTTGATTTTTTAGCTGAATTTTATAGATTGTAAAATTTCTGAGCAATATTCCAGAGCTATCAAATCGTAAAATATTTTGATGGATGAAGAAATATTTTTGAATTTGAGCACGATCATTTGGCAATATTATCAATACCAATATAAATTAAAAAAATTTTGTAGTAATGGAATTAAAAAAATATATAAAAATTTAAAAAAACTTTTTAATTTTTCTCTTATTCAGTCAATCTTAGTAGCTAAAATTAAACGGTCACGAAAATAATCATTTGTGCGTCAGTTTCTTTTCTCATTTTTTTTTTTTTTTTTTTAATAAAATTAATTATATACTAATATTAATTTAAAATTTCATTTAAAGATGATTTCAAACATAAATAATAAAAAATTTTATAAAGTTTATATAAAATTAAAATTTTTTAGCTAAAAAAAATTTTTGGAGTTTTAAGAGGAAAACTAGACTGAAAATAAGTTTAAAAAACAAAGTTAGTAAATGTTTTTCAAATTCAAAATGGAAGTGTGATGAAAAATTTCGGAGATTTGTTTTTTATAAAATTTCCATGAATTTTCTGTAATATTGTTATTTTTGTCTAAAAATTTTATTGCGTTTAAAAAAAAAAATACAATTTTAAAATTCGTAATTTCAAAAACAAGTGAATATTTTTTTTTTTTTTTTTTTTTTTAATATTTGATAAAAAAAAAAGGTATATAAAAAACAAAAGATTGAATCATCCAAAATATAAAAAAAAATCAATTTTTTAATTATACCTATGTATTAAATTCAATGTATTGGTAAAGTTCAGTGTATGTATACAGTATATTTGTATATATATATACATATAGGTATATTCAGATACATTATGTCTAATGTTTACAATTGATTTCATAAATTTTTATGCATTGCAGTAGAACTCGCTTATAATGACGACGTCCCTAAACAGCAACAAACCTAATATAACAACCAAACTTTCAAAAATTTGGTTGGTTTCTTAGAAAATAAAAAAAAGCATCATGTATAACGATATATTGTCTATATAGCAAATTCGAATTGGATATAATAACGCGTTTATGTATGTACATAGTTCTATTTTCCTTGTCATTTAAAGCAACAAAACAATACAGCAAAAATTAGTATGCGATATTATGTTGTATGTAGTTTTACTCATGATTTTTTTTTATTGTCTATTGATATTGTTGTAATGAAGATTTTTATCTATTGCATCATTCAATTCGAAGTTATTACATTCATAAATGCATTTAGAAAATACATTAGATTGTCACTTTTAATTTTTAATAGTTTGAATTTTTTTTTTTTTTCGTTTCCATTTAATTTGTTATGGCGACTATCGGTTATAAAACCTTTCGAATTTGATTGCTCCCTTGATCGTCGTTATTAGCGAGTTCTACTGTATTTTTCTTTGTTACAAAATTCTATTACATTTTTTTAAAAATTAGATTAAACCTTCTTTTCATTAACCCTGATTAAATTTCCTTGTGCATAGTTAACAAAAAATTCAGTACAAACTTAATTAAATTTTTGTTATATGAAAATCTTGCAACTTTAAAATTGTAGTAAGATTTAAGACAAATTATTTGAAATTATCAAATCATGATTATATAATTTTTAAGTACACACATACACATTATATAGAATTCTAGTGAATTTTCTTTTAATTCAAAACTATTAAAAAAGTATTTGTATAATATTTCAATGTGCCATTTAAATTTTTTTTTTAAGTTGGTGGCGTTCTAATCAATTACCGCGAGATTGTTATGAAAAAAATATACATACATACATATATGTATATATGAATATAATGGAATTGAATATGAATATATTCCATGTAATTTTATGGTTAAAATAACATAACAGGTCCAGTCAATCAAAATTAATTGTTAAAGAAAAAAATTAAAGAAAATTCTAAAATTTCATGAGATGCAAAACATAAGAAAATCTATGAAGCCATTCCATTTTCTTTCGATTTTTTATATTAATTATTCCAAATGGTGCCATTTGCTGATCTGATCATACAAATTTTTATTAATAATTGATTAACAATAGGTACCTATTTTTTTAATAAACGTACTACTTAACGTCCTCATCATATTTTCAGACTAAATCTTCTTCAATTTATAGATGTTTGGCATTTTTCAGTTTAGTTAACAGTTTTGTTAATTGAAAAATCAATTTGGTTACATGCATACATACATACACATGTGTCTATATAAAAGTTCCTAATCAAATAAGTTGAATTACAGCCAAGAAAATACATACATATCAATATACGTAAACGTCATTAAATAAACACAAGTATTTTGTGTAAATATGAAAACATAATGTACGTATGTGTGTATGTATAAGATAATGCGGCTCGCGTGGCGTGATAATAACAAAAATATAATATGATTAACTGACTTTATTCTTGAATGCTAATAAAATGTGATTTTTTTTTTTTTAATTTTAATTATTCGAATTTCTATTTAATTTTTTCTGTAACGCCAACCTATCATTTGGAATTCTTGTATTATATCTGAAAATTTTTTGATTTTAATCACTAAGATCACTAAGATTAAGACGTCCAATATTCTCAATTTATTATGTATATATGTATATGTATATATATAATTATTACAGTGAGAAAAATAATATTAACAGATGTTTATTATTATTGAAAGCTATATGTTTCACCTTATTTTGTATTAAGACAATTTAAGAGTTTTTGACATAAAGATACGGATATATTGTATATTGAAGCTTTTATTTCCAAAACTTTTTATTAAATTACTTATAATATTTATATATGTATATGTGTACATATATTAATATTTATATGCTTGTGAAAATATTAAATTTAATAACGTGCCAGTGTATTATATGAGAAAATGTGTAAAAACAAAATTAACATGAATATTATGGCGTGATTTCAAAATGAATCACAAATTAGTTTACCATCATTGAAGTTATGTTCGAATGACAACATCATTTCAACATAAATTAATTATATTTATTACACACTAAATATGTATTACTGAGATTTGATAATTTTATATATTAATTTTTTGAAGAATTTTCAAAAAAATTTTTGAAATAAATTCTGCATAAATCTGTAAAAATCAGAAAATTTTTGTTCTGCAATAATATGAAATTATTTTAAAATAAATAAAATTTTTAGGGTTCAGACGCAACACTATCTTATTAAAATCATAATATTTTCCAAATAATATTTTGATCAAGACCTGAGTTGCATTATCCTTTATAAAAAAATGAAATTTTGTAATAACAGTAGAATTTAAACCGAATATTAAAAACAATATTTAAGGACCCTTTTGGACTGTTGCTTTTTTTCTGTAGGGGATCGATTTCTAACGCCCTTCTCACATCGAACTATTGGATCTTTTGTAATTCCAATTCCCACCTAAAATAGCACTATATTCAGACACCTGACAATATAGTAGCCATCTCATTTCGCGAGACCTCAATTAGGATCACAAAGTCCTTTCCAAAGAATTTAAGTCATAGGTGAAATCTAAGTCATAGGCCCTCCACCTTGTTTACCCTCTTGAGATGGAGCATCGAATGGAAGTGTCCAGCGAGGCAACCCTCCAATAGGCTAATTTCTGGAATACCAAGTGTGGCCAGTTCTCGCCTCCTCGGGAAACTCACCTTCTTAAGGGTATATAAATTGTTTGGAGTTAGATAGGCGCAGTAAATTGTTCCAATGATCGTCCATTCTTCCCAACCATTTAAGGCACGCAGAACCGTTGTAATAATAAAGAGGACTGTCGTTACTTTATATTTAATTTGACATTTGTAACAATATTTTGACAATATAGGAAATATTAAAACTCTATAAAATTTTATATTATGTGATACAATTCCTATATTCTGAAAGGTATCGGTACTAAATCGGTATTCGGTAGTTTTAATAATAACTCTTTAACAATTTTATATCTAATTAACATAGTTTTAGAGTGTTATCATGCCTGAATGGTTTTTTTCATTTTATTTTATTTGTATAGGTTTCGATTTATACAAATTTGAAATATTAAAGATTTCTTATTCTTATAAAGACTGTCGCAACGCTGTCACTGTACCATACATAAATGTATGCAAAAAAAAAAATCATGAAAATGAATTATAAATGCATGATGATGTTTTTCGTTTGGGTGATGTTATTCAGCAATGCATTAGGCACAAATCAAGGTACTTATATTTTCTTTCCTAATTCTACATAAAAGTATTTTTGAGGAAAAACTCTCTTTTACTCAATAAATGTTTAAGCTAGTTTATTCTGAATTAGTTCTGGCAACTAGTATTACGAGTATCTATGCTAGGTTGACGTTTATTTAATTTTTGTTTTTATAGTCTACTGAATTTTTCTTGAGATAATTTCGCTCTAACTACTTTCAATTAATATTCATAATCTTATACGTTTAAAAATTAGATTTCAGAATTAATAAAGTTTACAAATTTGGAGAGTTTTTCCTTCTAACCACAGAAATCTAACACTAGTTTTTTTCTCTTATTTATATTTAAAAAATAATTATGTATTTTGTTTTTGTATTTTATTATTCACAGTTGATATCAATGATGTTTTAGAAGGTGAAAATATTAAACTTATATGCGAATTTGGTATAGGATTTCAAAATGAAAAATTAAATATAATTTGGGAATATCCTAATATGAAATTTAATAATAATAATTTAAGAATAAATTATACAACAGAATTTATTAATGTTAATATTGTGTCAACTGTAGTATTATCGAATGCACAACAAATAAATCATGAGGGAAGCTTTATATGTAAATTATATTTGGAAGAATCATTTATAACAGAAAAATATTTTAATATTAAATTTATGAAAACTAAAGATGGTACTATAGAAAAAACACTTGATATAACAATTATTATACTTATTGTAGTATTTAGCATAATATTATTTAGTATTATAATAAATTTTATATTATGGGGACTACATATAATATGGTATGGCAAGGTAAATATTTTAATAATTCTTTTAATAGAATTAAATTGAAAAATAAATTATTAAAATTCATAACTTTAATATTTATATCTAGGGAAAAAATGTTATTATTATTGTACAGATCTCGGATACGGAAGCTCAATAAGTATTAAAGAAAAATTTAATAATAAACTGATCCTTTAAACATATAGGATTAAAATATGCCATTATTTTACAAATATATGTTAAGAGAATATTTTGGTAAATTCTCTCTAAAAATTCAAAAATAAGAGAATGAATTTAAATTAAAAAAAAAAATGGAAATAACTCAAAAATTCTAGACACCTTTGCTTTTATTGTATATTATTTAATAAACAATGAGCATAACACCCCCTGAATACTACATTTGACCACCATAAAATACAAGATGAGCTCATAATTTCCTGAATTTTATGAAAAGTTCAAAATTAATAATATAAAATTATAAAAATCAAATAGTTAATAAAATGTACACTAAAAAAAATTTTTTTAATAAAATTTCAAAGTAAAGTAACAAAATCAGCTTTCCTAATCAAAAGAAAGATAACATTCAAATAAGAACCATCCAACGATATAAATATTAAATAGTTAATTAACAATATAGTAATTTTATATTTTTATAATACACATAATTACATAATATACGAGTATATATTTATGTTTTATTTTTTCTTGTAAATGAATTTTCTTACAGGAAAAGAATAATTCAAATGAAAATGAAAATGAAAATGTTTAACAAGGAACTTCAACACATAATTGAATCAGAAACAAAACACAATATGAAATATTACAAAATTCTACTTAAATATTGAATTAAGCTTATTATATATACATTATATATAGAGTTATATATATATATTATATTGAGATAACTCATTTTTGTTAACATATTTCAGTTCGGTAAATGAATCAATTGAAATATGATTTCTAAAATATTTTTGCATCAAAAATTTAATTAGTTTTCTATTAATTTTAGTAAAACAAATAAAAACAAGAAAATATATATTTGTAATAGTGTTATTAATTAAAATAAATTAAAATCTGTTAATAATAAAATATTCTGACATTATTTTACTAAGAACTGTGATTATTTGTATAAAATTAATTTAAATAATAGATTAATTTAAAAAATAATAGAAAATTAAAAAAAAAAAAAAAGCCTAGTCAAACTTGTTTAATATTTACGCAATTTCTCTAATTTTAAAACTGTAAAAAAAAAATTTTTTTAAATTATTATTTTTTTTTTTTTAATTTTCCTTTACTATCGCTAATTTAAAATTTAGTTTAAAAATATTATGAAAAAATGTTATGTCTTTTTTTCTCAGTGAATTGTTTATATTTATATAGAAAATAAAAATAAATGTTTTAATATATTTAATAGCATTTATAAATATTTGTTAAACTATATTTTATAATACTGTTAATAACAAAAAAAAAAAAAACAAAAAAAAATTGTACCTAATATAAATAAGAATTTAAATTAAAGTATTGGTTATTTAATTGTTGTACAGGTGATAGATCAATGCTCGATTCGCTTCTAGCATCTTTTGGAAATTTAAATAGAATGCAACTTTACAGAGACAACTTTACAGAAGCAAATCGAACATTGAGCCAATCAATTTAATTAAATTTCTAAATTTATGTAAATGAAAATTTAATTTATTATTTTATACTAAAAACACAAAAAAAAATCTTTAATTAAAAAATAATAATAAATTATTGTTACAGGCAGTGTATTCTATATTATAACTAGGGGCCCCTGTGGTTTGCTTATAAGCAGCATTATCTGTTGTAAAAACAGGATTGTGGCAATCAATTTTAAAATAAGTTTAGAAAAATTTGTACATATTATGGCATACATATGCAGGTTATACTTGTATATGCATAAATATCATATTGGTTTGAATACTAATGATAAATAAAAGTAATGGAAATATTTTTAATTTAATAAATTTTAAGATGTAATATGTGTCACTGTTAATTACATAGATATGATTAAAATTCAATTTAAGAATTAGTTAACAATTAAGAACGAAAAATTTCCTTATAAACAACGTTATCTGTTAAAATATTTCCATCATTTGTTTGTTATCCATTTTTTAAAAAGAAAAGAATCCGCAATTGGAAATAGTACCTTTCACGTTAAACTTTAAAACCGAAGTGAATGTGAATTAATAAAAAATCAATGCCTCTTTACTTTATACAGACCTGGCTTGGCTACTTACTCAATTGAAATTTCGCAAGCACACGAAGAATAATTACCTTAGTACGTAACGTAACGTTATTCGTGTTCTTATATCTCTCACAATTTTTAGTTTTATTTTTTTTAATTTCATTCCATGTTAAATACAACAACAAAAAATTATTTTACTCTTACTTAACTCATTTAAAATATTTCGCTTCCTTTTGCTTTTTATTTTTGTTTATGGTAGTAAAGCAAAAAAACAAAAAAAATATTACTACTCATTTTTTATTCTCTTTCGCTTTTCATTTTTTGTTTTTGTTTTACAGTATGTATAATCAATTGAGTAATGTATCTACCCAGTATTCTTTTTTGCTATTTTCATTTTTTTGTTTTTGTTATTTATTAGATTATATGTATACCTGTTCATGAACTGGAAAAATCTTGTAAAATATAATTATAATGTTCTTGTGATTGTGTGTTTCAAAAACGATCGAATCGATCGCATATATAAACAATACACATTATACAATCATATGATGATTAATATGAAATGCAAAGGAAGCAATATGAAGAAAAAATTATCAAAAAATTTGTTACCTCTGTTTGTAAAAATGTTAGCCTAAAAAGCGGTAGAAATCACGCGACGGTTCAAGTCTAGTTCGAAGAGAACATTTTTTTTAAATTTTTCTGCTTTGTCTCATTCTCTAATACATATGTTCGGCATTTGTATATTTAAATTTATAAAATATTTAAATAGCTGCTGTTATACAAAATAATTTTAAAAGATTACCTTAAATATTTAAAAATTTTTTTTTTTTTTTTACCGAGAAGAAGGGTGAAAAATCTCGAAAAGCAGTAGTGTGGAACTTACTCCTCAAAATAAATTTTAAAGCTAGTCAGAAACCACTAACCATTAATTTTGCTCCAATTCTTTTGATTATTCACAACCTTTTCATCTGGCACAAAAGACTACTAAGTACTCATTGTTCCAGATAAAAAACTCTAAACTAACTCGAGAGGTCTCGTACGTTTAAGTCTCCTAACAAAATTTTGATTGTCAACCAATCGAGCCGCCTCGATGTTGACACGATTGGGTAAACGCATTTTATGATTGACTGCTTGCTTTTTAATTTTGTCTCTGACACTTAGGATTTACGTGAGATCCCTGTGTACATCGGCATTACGAACATACCAAGGGGAGTTTACAATGTCCCGTAATACCTTATTTTGAAATCTTTGAATAGATTGGATATGAGTCTGCACAGCGCAGCCCCAATTGTCAAACAATGTTTATTTTCATTCACCAAATTTCGTATTATTCGTCAAATTTCATATAATTGGAAATGTATATAAAAACAAACACGAATAGTTTGTTGTATATAAAGATTTACTTTGTGATTTACTTTGTAATTTTGATTATAACGAATTGTTTGGAAATGAAAGAGGTTCCATCTCTAACATTATGCAATAATGTTATTGATATTATTTTTTTTAATACATAAATGAATTAAAAATAATTAAAAATAGACATTTAAATATTTTCTTTTATAAATTAAAATTTTTATTATATCTATTAAAATATACGAAAATAATTAAAGCAATACATTTATACAAGTACGTACATAAATTGACAGTTATGTCAAATATGTGACAATTACGAGTATGTTTTATTAAACAAATCTGACAAATTGACAATAATTATGTTTTATCTTGTAAAATTAAAACAAATTAAATTTTTTATTTAAGAACATAATTAATTATATATAAATAAAATATTTAAAATTAAATTAAAGACTGTGCAATTTCAATTTTAACATAAAAAAAATCAAAATATACAATAATATTAAATTTCAATTTTGTCTTTGAATTTTATTTCTTTACCATTATACAATTTATCTAATATAGTATCGTAATAAATTTAAATTAAACAAAAAATTTTCTTGTAACGGAATAAACTACACTCATCCCTCGTTTAATGGAGGCTCGCTATAACGAATTTCGGTTTTACGGAATTTAAAAATTAAAACCAAAGTCTCTTTTTCGAATTACGGAAAATTTTTAAAATCCAACAAAAAAAAATCTAATGTGGTCAGCATATAACCGACCGCATTGTGTATTGTTCAGTTAAATGAAAATGTTACAGAATATTATAAAAATGTCTGTTAAATACTTCTTTCCAATTTTAAGGACATTAGTAAGCTTATAGTTAACATACTTAGAAAAATGTAAATTTGGCTCTTAGTAGAGTTTCGCTTTGTGCTACCCGAATTCCCTGAAATGCTCGCCAGTTAGTTTGGGTAACAACCAGAACTCAAATATCAAATTTCAAGAAATTCCATCAATTTGTTCTGTGGATATGGTGAAAAATGTAAAATCGGCCCGCAAATCCGTTTTCGAGCCTTGATCTTTCCAAAAAATTTATATGTTCATTTTTTTAATACGAGGAGTTCATATATCAAATTTCAATGAAATCGGTTGATTATTTCTCTTTATATACACAAAAATGTATATTTGGCCCGTAGTAAACGTCTAGTTGCCGATGCCTGATTTCTTCCAAAACATACGAATTTTTGCGGACGGTCGAGCTGAGCTTATATATAAAATTTCAAGTAAATCGGTTGAATACTTTCTTCAAAATGTTCAAAAATGTAAAACAGGCCCGCTAAAAAGTGCAGTTCCCGAGACCTGATATATACCAAAAGTTGATCGATCCGTGCCATGGTGGAAACAAACTTACATATAAAATTTCATCAAAATCGGTTCAGCCGAACTTGAGATACACGCGTGCACACACAGACCGACAGACGGACAGACCGACAGACCGACAGGTTGCTAAAAATAGTTTATTTACACTTCCCTACTATGGAGAAGTACGTTCCCACCGAAAACTCGGTATGCAAAATTTGTTGCCATCACATAACCTACCTATTGTTTACACAATACGATCGGTAAAAAGAAAGTAGTCTAAAAAATAAGTAAAATAATGTAAAGAATTTATTTCCCTAATATATTTTTTGGAAATTAAAAGAAATAATTAAATAATAAAAAGAAATAAGGTAAAAAATTATGTGATTGTAACGTAATGTAAGTAAAAAGATTTCAATTTATGGACAACATTCCCGGAACATATTAGTTCCGTAACGCGAGGAATGAGTGTATTTAATAATATCTACGAGTAGAAGCTGCTAAAATTCTCTTCTATATCCTATACAGATTTCTACAAAATATAGGCTTTTGTAGCGATTTTGTATTTTTGATATTCACTTATATGCTGTGTCATGGTAGAAGCATCGAACTGCAACTTTTTTTCTAGATAAAAAATTTTCTTCAATAAACATAAATTTGTCAATGTTGTATACGTGCGGGAGTTGATGAACGAACGGACAAAAAGAAAAAGTACTAAAAAGACAAATTTAGAATAAATTGTAAGTACTTTATTTTGAGAAATTTGTAGATTTTTTGATATTTTAAATACACCGCATTTAATTCTGTGTACGTATATGAATTAATTGAAAACCATATTATGGGAAAAATACAATGATAAATTCACGTTATATAGTAAAATTGTATTTGTTTGCGAAATACATACATACATAATTTATAGATAAATGATACAACAAAATGTTTTATGAATTAAAAAAATTTTATGAATGAAAATTTAATCTTACGTGCAGGTAAACAAACTCGTTTTTTTTTTTATTATTATAGATAGTTTTTATAAAATTCTTTATTGCCATTTTAATTCGTT